TAAATCCACACCAGAAAAAAGCCCTTAGATTTCTATTTCTAAACGTTTTTTAGCTTTAAGTATCTGTGTTAGCATTAATAAGAGTCAGGTGACAGGCTTAAAGCTTTCCCTTTATACATTTGGCATACAAATACTCAGTATCAGTTCCACAGAGCATAGTCCTGATTATTGCAATATATCACCTAGGGTTTTTTAGGTTAATTTTATAAAAACAAGGGATCATAAGATGCCAACAAAAGCAAACATTCATGGTTATTATAGCAAAAAACCCAGCTCAACCCTTTTAACTCCACATAACACATCTCATTTAAGTGAATCATAGAAACCTAGTATGTTTTGTATTCTTGTAGCACCGTACTGTCATATCATCCAAGTACATACTTCCATTTTTTATTACCTTGTATTATCGTCTGGGGCATCAATACAGAGATAAAAACATTTGTGGGTCACTCTCATCAGCCAGGGTGTGAACACACCACTACAAGAAGCCAACTTACAAAACCCCACCCTTAAGAGTTTTGAATATCTTATTTTCAAAAGTTGTCTAGCATGATCAAATGTCACAGCCAAAATACTACTTTATCCCTGCTTTAGATCGTCAGATCTTGCACCCTTGAAGAATTCAAACACAATAATATTCTGAGAATTTGTAACCAGCTGTTTTATCACCATGACCACTCCCAAGATGTACCAGGCTTCCTTGCCTCGTGCCTGACGATGAACTGGAATCATATAAACAGGCTGACCCAATTCTCTAAAGCCATACTTCTAAAGCTAAGTGAGGTCACCACCACTTTTGTGAGAAAACTGGTAAAACCATTCTACAGCATGCATAATTGTACTACCTGGGTGGGAGGTGGGAGGCACAACTATGTTGACACAAAAATTGTAGCATAGACTAGGCATAACACAAAGATGTGCAAAACCATCGACTGAGACACAACTGACTCCTTATTCCCCATGAAGATTATAGACAAGACAGTTCTACTTTATGGCTGTCAACAATATTGCAGTACTCCACTAGTGCCCGTAAAAATATTGCTCAAAGGCGGCATGAGTTGCTTATTTTCAACATACAAGAAATAGCCTGACAAGTAATGGAAAAAGAATTCAAACTGGAAATGCCAGTTTGATCATGCATCTCGAGATCCTGATTTTACACTGGGTTTTTTTGTAGTGAGTGGAAGCACCTGGTAAACGACATTGCTTATATACCACAAAATAGCTCTCCTCATAGTAAGTCTGCACCAGACTACGACAAATGAATCTTGCCAGATGATTACTTCACATGTCCTTAATTAAATTAATGTAGTAATGATGAAGTCAAAAGACATTTGCAGTCAGTAAACCACTTCTAATCTTGAAGAGGACTTTCTATTTTGAAATAGAAATAGAATAGTGAGTTTTGAAACTCACTAGTATTATTTATTCCAGGTAAAAGATCTATCCCTGAGATAAGTCTGGAGAGGTAAGCACAGCCAGTCCCACGTAGAACACTGCCCAAAAGACTGACCTTTCAGTTGGAAAAAAATGGAAGGAATCTATCTTAAGAAAGGCTTATGATCAGCATCATTGCCCTGGAGGAGAGATACCTGATGCTCTCAGGAGTCCTCTCTCCCAGATGTGCTGGAGATAGAGCTTTGAAATATATACTAAAACCAGCTGTTGGTACTGCATTCATTAATGTCTTTGACAGGATGTAAAAATGCTAAGTTTTATCCTGGGCAGTCCGTCTCCATAGGAGTCAACGATTTTTTCAGGTGGTACCTCCCATGTAAAGGTTGCTATTATTGCTGTCTTTTACAGTCATGGCAAGGCAGTGTATTTCTTCCACTTCACTCCATCTTGCCATACGTCCAATGCAGTTAGCTCTCATTCTTCCTCTGTCCAGTCTTCCTCTGTCATTGCTTCACAGTACATCCAAGTGGTCAAATTCATTCATTCACTGACTGTAATGTAATGCATTTGTTACTTTATGCCACCTTTCAAGCACAAGTTATCTTCCCACATTCATTTTTCTGAACAATTTGTGGTTTTGGACATCCAGCTGTTCTTCAACTTTCTTCTCCAACAGCTCAATCCGAAACATTTCAGTTCGTCTCTCACTGTATTCAGTGTCTGGCTTTCGTATCCCCCCTCCCTATGTACCGTACTGACCACTGAAATGTGATGTAAATATTTAAGCTTAAACACTCCAACAAGGGGCACTTCTAGACACATTTGTGTCAGTATTATGGGGTTCATGCCAAAGGATGTTGTGTGTTAGCTGAGCAATGCAGTATATTTTTTCCATTTGCTACATCCACTAATCAAGTGACATCCTGAACAATTACTTCTTTAAAACATATAATGAAAGAATTTAATATGAAAATAAAAAAGCAGGAACAAACTCATCTTAATTACATAGAGTCAGAGACCAATGAAACAGTATGAGACGTCTGCAGTTTGGGTCAGCTAAGATATTAATTTTTTATGTATTATTCTTTCTTTTGTTTAGGATATACATCCAGGTAATGCTTACATTTTTTGCCATCTACAGAGCCCTAAGGTCCCTTAATGCAGATTTCATCTTCTCTTCTTGATACATGCCATCAAACTACGCTTCCAAAAAGAGTTGTCATTAAGCAGGGAGCCCCTGGGCACCACATTACACAGTTGCCTGGTTCATATCAATGTGAATTGGGACAAATAATCAACCACTTTTACATACAGCTTTAAAATCATGCAGTTGAACTTCCCTATACCATTTATATGAAATATCCTGTAGTCATTCCATGCAGCAGTAAAATTTACTACAATTTTTTATAAGGCAATAACAACTAGAGATAGCATCAGGTCTTTCTCCCTTCAAAGAGTTTTTACAAAGCAGTAAAGCCCTCCTAGCACAAACTGTACTTTAGACCTCTAGAAAGTCCGGAACAGTTTCAGATTTGGTACAAACTATAGATGTATTCTGTTACTCTTCTTGCTTTCCCCCCTCATGGGACTCCTGTTGTTCTTTTTCTTCAGGAATGCTTTTTTAAAAAATAATTTTTTTTCTGTCTTGCAACTCTGATACTCTTTGTCCATTCCCTCACTCATGAGTTATTTGCTGGTGGGTTTAGAGAAAGACCCACACCGAGACAGGCTAGTCATAGCAGCTGAGGCAGGAAGCCAGCCCCTACCCCTGCATCTGTGTGTGCCTGTGAATGAGTCTCACTGCCAACTGTGTTACGTACCACAGTGCACACAGCGAGCACGTGCTCTTCTTCCAAGAGCACACACTCTAGCAAGTCTGTGTCTAGGAGTAAGTATGAACCTGTGGTTTTCATTACCAGTATTCATTGCTTCTGTCAGAAACAACCTATTCTACTACTCCTTGCAAGGTCTTTCTGCACACGAAGATTGGCACTGATAGAAGCATAGGAGAGAATATTCTTCCCTGCTTTGGGGAAATCAGATTACCAGACACAGCACAAAAGGAACCCACCTAGCAGCCCTCCAAGCTACTTTGTTTTGTCGTCACCTGAAACAAATTATCAGTAAGTGCTGGAGGAAAGATCCAGGACTTGATGGACCAAATTGGTTGATCTGACATGGCAAATAATCTGTTCCTCACATAAACAACCAGTTTCTTCTTCCTCTTCCACCTCTGTCTAATCTACCTTTGAGTGTTTGTAGTACTCAATGAACATCTGACCTCTGACTGTATGATGTGACCTTTGACTGTTCAACATGAGGTTTTGTTTTTTTTTACTATGCTTATTACTTTCAAACCACATAACACAATTTAGCAGCCACTGAAGTATTTCCCATTTCAGTCACACCCATGTTAACACTATGAAGAGATGATGCTAGCATCATTTTCAGAGCTTTTCCATTGTTAATTTTCACTTCGTTCTCAAAGATGTGCAGTCAGAGTCTTAGTTCCTCACATACACAAAGTAACTAACCTCAAAACACAGGCAGCAGAACTATTTTAAATGGCAACATGCAGCTTACAATGAAAAGCATTACATGCTGATATAGCACCATGGTTCTAAAAGATCCTAAATCATTCAAGCTCACATTCAGATAGCCTCAATCTCACTCATGACCTTCCTTTGCTCTGGTTTAGACAATGTCCCACTCAGCTGCTGGACCACGCCTGTGGAGGCGGCTCCCTCTCCCCACTGACAAAGCAGGCTGTCTAAAATGCTGCATGGGTTTAAAACATTAGTTGAATACAGGCAATTCTGAATGGAAGTTGGTCTTACAGCAGTGCAACACGATTTTCTGCAGTTTGGTTGAGAAACTCGACTAGTATGTGATGACCAGAAAGTATTACAGTAGCTTTAATTTTTGCACAGACAAATTCATTATTTTGAAAGGTCATGACAGTAAATTGCAAGGAATTCAATTTATCTCCCTCAGATTGATGAAGGACCAGAGTCAAACACAGAACAGTGGAAACCTGTGGCTCCAAGAGGTCTGTGCTGTTTCAAACCTGCTCTTAGGCAGCCAAACCATCCTTTCAGCTATACATTATTACAGCTTGTGATTTTCAACTGATTTTTTTCCCTAGCTGTGCTGCAGCAAATTGTGTCATACATGAGCATCCAAAGAATGGTCAAAGCACGAAGAAACTGTCTTTAACCATGAAGTTTACCAAATATAGACTTATTTGTGATACAGACAGACATCATCATAGTTTTCTCACACTCATTTCTCCACACTAAAGTGACATGAAAAAAGTACAGAGAGATATAAGGGAGAAAACGCCATCAGCACATTACAGAAAAACAAATACTGGAAAAGCAAACTAGCACTAAGATTAGTTTTAAAAACAGAAAGATCATGAAGACAGAAAATAAAAAAAAATACCCTGAGCCTCACATGTTTTAGCTTCACAGTACATCCAGGAGGAGAGTGACACACCAGTAGCCCACCCGATTTAACAGGCTCCTTGTGTATAACTGAGAACAGAGCTAGTGAGCAGATCATTCCTGACTGGATGTATCACATCATGCGGTAACTCTTACCTAAAGCTTTCTGGGTATTCAACAACAGCCATGTTGATAACATCCAGTGCATGCTGATAGTGCTTCTGAGCTGAAAAGAGCAGGGCCAGTAGATGAAGTGAATTCATGTCATCTTTGCACAGTTGCAGTGCTTCTTGAAGATGTTCTATAGCATCAGAAATCTGGGAGGAGATAGGGCAGAAATAAAAAGAGAACATATTTCTCCTTCAGTACCACATTATATCCCAAAGGTAAGAACACATACAGTCACCAGAAATTCTGAAGAAATCCTACTTAGGCACCTATGAGAAAGACTTCTACTATCTGAACAGTTTGCCAAAATTAACAGACTGCACTGCTTGAATAAAAACCACACATTCTAGAGAAAGGAGTCTGTAGTATTACTAATCACTGCTTATAAACAGGAGAAGCAGACCTGATCCAATCAACCCTCTCTGCCATGGTGTTTCTATGCTATAAACAAATCCACTACAGAGGTCCAATTCTCAACTCCATTTTGTAGGATGGGTGGCTGGTTCTTCACCTAGGGGACAGCATTACACATCTCTGCTGCATTTTGTCTCTTGTGATGGCTGTACAAGGCCTTTCATGATTTGGATCAAAAACATACAAATTAAGTTTGAATATTCAAGGATAAAAGAGTCAACATGCAAAATACTGTCAGAAAAAGAAATATCTTTGCAAGCAGCAATGTAAAGAGCAGTCCTGACACTCACAGCAGCAGCGTGTCATTAGAATCAAGTCTCACTTGGCAGAAAACGTAACATCTATAATGTATGCAAGTAGATCACATGCTCTTTGTGATCCAATACCCTATTTTAGGTTATGTGTTCAAAAAAGAACTCCTTAGTAGATATTCTTCCCTTTGGCTACCAATAAGTTTTATATGGAGGATTTTCTTTAAAATTCTCTAGTGTCTGAAATTACTGTTACTTCAATTATTCCAGATCTGTGTTTGGCCCTGGAAGCCTGTAGAAGACAAACCAGAAAAATGCTACTGATTATCTAGATCCCAGATATACTTCTGGGAGCGTGGTACATATGCTGTTCATGAGACAACTTCATCCTAATGTGCAAGTGACATTTCACTCTTACGGGGCATATGCAAGCCAAAGTACTTAACTACTCTATTACTGGTGTCTCCATGCAAGTCTGGAGATCAGCGCAACTGCTCCACAGACATAACCCCAAACTGGCACCTGGCCCACAGCTTCAAAACTGCTGAATGTCCTGGCTTAGATTCAGGTTGGGATATATGACTGAGTGCTCAACTTTAATGAATTACTGCTTGTCAGTGGAGCTACTTTAACCACATGTGTTAATATAGTCTACTGCAAAGGTAAACACATTCATTTAAATCACCAATGTTCCCTCAGAAGCTTACTAGGACACGTTTTCTTAGAATGTAAAACCACTAGCAATGACAAGACAATTTGGAACCAGGACAACAGGCATGAGACTGCAGTGGGCCCAGATCTATCCGTCCAAAAAGTTCTTCAGTAGATATACCAGAGGTATATCAATTTGACTTGTTAAAACAAAGCTGCTATCAAGACTCTTCCTGCACTCATGACTAAATATACTTCTTATTTTTTCTATTCCTCTGTCACAGACCTGCACAAGTAGTCACAAAGAAATGCCAAGTTTGGGGAAAAATAAGTTCATTAGAAGAAAAAGAAAATCTGTAAACCAAACAACTGGAAGGGGCTTTGAGCACCCTGTCCCAGCTGACCCTGCTCCAAGCAGGGTCAGAACTGGATGATCTCCAGAGATCCCCTCCAAACTCAACTATTCTATGATTCTATTCCAAGACTTGGGAAGATGATCCTAATTTGCTAGTATGAATCAGACAAAGAATCAATAATACTTGCAACTAGTGTCTTTACTGAGGAACTTCAAAATTGTAAGGATACTTGACCTTACTTGCATGTGAACATGCAAACTACGTCACTGAGACCTTGCTTTAGACGTGCAAATGTCTGACAATGGCACAACTGCAAGTTCATACCCCTAACAGAGGTCAGCTATCAAAGCTCTCTTGACTCTCTTGCAACATACATGAAATAAAGCAGCACTAAAGTCAGTTGTGGTCGCTCCTGCAAGCCTGTGCCTGTTGAATAGGTCATCACATACTGGTGAAATAGATGTAATCTAAAATAATTTTCCCCTGTCCTGTAGCACAGGGTTTGCAATGGTTACATCTCATTTCAGTGCTTCCCTCTAGTACCATCAGAGTCACAGACAATGGCTGTTTTTGAAAGTTAATCATGCTTCCCTGACACTTGATTGTTTAACTTGAGCCCAAAAAGTTTCCCTAGTGATGTAACACCATTAGTAGCCTACACAGTAGTGCTGTATAATTAGAAACAATGGACAAGCCACAGATAAAAAAAATAACCTTTAATAATATGAAGAGACTCTATTCCTTTACAGGAAGCATTATACAAAACAACCACCTGCCACAGGCCAGATGCAATGAAATACAAGCTAAATTCCTAGAATAATAAAAGCAAGATACTCAGCAGCATTCAACACAAACTTCTTTTGAAAAGCAGAGATCATCAATCTATTGACAGATACCACAGCTTATTTATTTAAGTAACTGTAATACGAGAAAGATGGAAGCTGGCAGCCCAGATGGCACCCTGAAACTTCAGGGCTGTATCAGAGGTAGGCTGCCAGTTTAAATTCCCTACAAGTGTTGCGCTTTAAAGTAATCTTATTTCAGCTGGACTGCAAGTCTGAGTGGGGCTTGCAATTACAAGATGCTACCCTTCTCTGATTTATCTTTCTGTTAATAAATATACCACATGTGTTCTGCATGGCACACAGGTATATTCGGATCACACTAATTAGGAAGTAAAGATACTGCAGTAAGCCAGAAATAGCATTTTGCAGTGCTACCAAAATAATGCCACAGTATGGATTGTTTAGGCTGCCTCTTATGTAATAGGATTTATTTCCATAATGTTATATATTTCCTTAAAAACAATGCTGGGATGTCACAATTGTAAGTATAAAAAGGAAAACTGTATGACTGTTAAAAATAATTCCCAACAGTAGAATACACTCGCATATTTAGAATGGTAAATGAAACAGGATCTCCTAAGAGGAGTTTTCAGCCCTTATAATTTCGTATTAGTTGTGAGTTACAGTTAATTAACCATTAAAACTATGCTCTCCACCTCTTTTTATAGCATGGGGATCATAGAAAGGAGAAAGCTTTATTGACTGGCAAGAGGTTCCATTGAAAACAGACATGCTACATTCCACCAGAAATTCAGACAAGTAGGCGCAGACATATCTGTGAGTTAAGTTATTACTTCATTCTTCAAGCTGTTTTTGATGATCAGAAAAATCTAGGCCAGGACCTAGACAGAAAAGCAGACAAAAAAAGAGACCAGAACTACCCACATCCAGCAGTTGCTAAAAGAAGCACCTCTTGATACCTACTGAAACAGAGCTCCCCTTCTGGGGCAAAGAAGAGACAGCAGTCTTGCCTTCTTGAAACGAAAATAAAAACAGTGGAAAAAACAGATGAAATATTTCCTCTGGTGTCTTAACTGAAGTTTATCTTATTTTTACATCCAGACATTCTGGAAGGCAGTAGATGTTTTTTGGATATTGCCACTTGAAACTCCAGGTCTGTTGGCAGCCCACAGATGAAACTGATAAGTGAGACCTCTAATTCTCAGCTGCTGGCCCCTGGCTGTCTTTCCGTTCGTATTTTCATTCAAAGAAAGGTCAAATCAAGTATTAAAATGCTATGAAACCCCTATATGTTGGTTTATGTATCCTATACTGATTTACATGGCATTCAAGGTCAAGTACACCACCACCCAAAACGAGAAGGGATTTAGCACTTAAAATTAACAAGAGCACGGACTCTCTAAAGTCATTTCCATAGAAACTGGTCTGCTAAAAAACAAGGCAAGGCATTAAAATCAGTGAGCTTTAAAATGTTCATTCTACCTTGTTTTTGCTGATCCAAATGCTGTTACCACAGAAACAGGAGAAGCAGCCGAACCAGCCACCGGGAGTTGGGAGTTACAAGTCTCATTTGTTGATCAGTTCGGTCAGCTGCCAGCCAGGCATTGCAGGTGGAGATAACCACCGCAGCAAATACTGACCTTGGCCTTGTGGTACTTCAGCTTCAGGGGGAAGCCAGATTGAGACCCTCCTTACAGAAGAGGGTATTCAACTCTGTATTTTGCTGAAAAATCCATCCTAACATGCTGTGGGGCTGACCTAGACCCTCCAGGAGTCACTGCAGTCCTCCCAGTGACTCCGGTGGTCTTTAAGACACAGAGCCCCACACACAAACACAAGCACATCATCATCATATTTCATTTTGGTTCCTGGTGGTTTTCAACTCCTAACTCTGCGAAAACCTTTTATAACAAGTTGTCACATCCTCACCATGTGTCAGAGGGAAGCTTATGCTTTTCCATAAATTTCCCTTTCCCACTGCTGACAAAGACAAGTGCTACTGGAAATATTTTAGAGAGTCTTCCAAGGAAGACAAATTGCTCCAGCTTTGCTTGGCACTCTATTGGTCAGCTGCTTCTCCTGCTTTGTTCCATGAAAACGCTCTCTTATCTACACAAGCTGATACCTAGATTTTTCAGTGTTGGCTAAGGTTACCCGATTTATTGACCTTGACTATGGAAACAAAAACGCCTATTTGTTGAGAATAACATTCAGGTATTATATTATAACCTACTGTGCAGGAATGGCCTGATTTGTCGATACTGTACCATTGCCTGATGAAAGCCCTAAATGTAATGTTCAATAGTTAATGCAATCTATCAAAAAAAGGTATCATTTATCTTTCAGTTAATCAGAAACAGAATATATTAGATACTTTAAATAATTAAGGATATTAAAAATGCATTACCAAATGTTTATCGTTAAGTAAACTGGCAAAAGAAGAGTAGGATATTTTACAGCAGTCTAAAAATAAAGATGTCTCAGGTATCTCCTCTCTCTCCAAGCATGCGTTAAAGATTTATATCTTGTTAGATGGGAAGAGCAGGAGCAGCATCGCAGGGGTCAGGCTGACACTACATAACACACTTAGATCACACATCTATGGTAGCAGGAGCGACTGGCAGAACATCAAGGATGAAAATGTACAGGTGAGACAGACAAAAGAAAAAGTGAACATGAGGACAAGAGACTGAATGGAAAGAACAGGAGGGAAGGGAAATAGCAAAATGAGACGTATGAAACAACACTGCAAAGACAGGCCACAACTGGAGAAAAAGAACAGGTAATGAGTTAAAATCCAGCAGACCACTAACAGTGAAAACAACAAAGAACCAACGACCACAAAAATCTTGATTTTATTTTTAAGGATAGCAGATGAAAAGCTGTAATGCTTTTACTCGTGGCAAGAAGCAGAAGAGGCAGCAGATCAGACAACCTCCCTAAGAGGCAAAAGCTGTAAGAGAAAGAAGGGTAGGGTGGACATTTTTTAATGAAAGACCCTGAGCAAACTGCATCATAAAGCAGCCAGTAGGCAGATGAGAAAGTTAAATAAGCCATTTTAATTATACTTTCTTATTGAAGGTTTCCTCACAACACACTGCTCTCATTATGAAAGGGTTACAAAAGTGACATTATCAAGAGTGTGCTCTCTGGGAACAATTAGTTTAACCTAATGAACACACAGCTCCCCTAATTAGCTCAGGAAAGTAAGAAGGATCCAACTGTTTGACTCTGTAGTGTAGACTAAGGAGAGAAAACTGCAGCAAGCAGAAAGTCTGCCAAAGGAGGGAACTATGATGATGAAATTTCAAATCTAGCTAGAGAAGCATTTAAAAAATAGGGGCTGCTCCAATAAAGACCTTGGCTTTTAAACAGAAGGGACAGAGAAATAAAACACATCCCAATTATAAAAAGAAGGGACAGAAAAATAAAGCACAGCCTAAATGTTTTTTCAGAAAAGTAGCGCAGTGTATTTTCTGATCAGCTTAATTTTTATGAGTTAACACCTGCAGCAGCATTCAAATGCCAACTAATCCCACTCACTGCAGAGCTCCAGCACCCGTCAAAGCCTAACGCCGAACGTGCCCAAGTATGGAATAAACCAATCCTCAGCACAGACAGCATGCGATCTGGCGTGATACAGAACCGGGCAGTAATGAGAGAGCCTTTGGAGCGGCCTGCAGCAGGACACAGCATGATACTCAGGAAATAGGAATAAACACACCTCGCTTGCCCCACACGGACAAAGTCGCTCCAAGTGGGAACAGCACTGCTCAGGAGTTAGAGCTGAATGTGTGCCCTAGGGAAGGTCATTCCATGTGCTACAGAATTACCATTTAAAGAAATAATTTAAAAAAAATCTTACACAAACTTATTCTGATTGTTTTCAATTATAATGTAGGAAGGAAAGGACTCTGTTTAGCAAGTTTGGGTCTTGTTCATTTGGACTATCCTTCTCCCACCCTCTTATGACTCAGTGGTTGCCAATTATTGCACATACCTGTCTGACAAGAGCCAGCTGCAGTGACAAGTAGAGGATGATTTGGTGATCTTCTGGGGCCAACTCACGTGCTCTTTAAGGACAACCGCACAATACAAAAAGAAAAGTGACTGTTAGATTGTACTTCACAGAACTCCTTTGCCATGAGTCACACAAGTACAGAACAAAACCTAGTCCGCTCCTACAGAAAACACTTCCAGTAACAGGAGAGCACACCAAAACTAGACAAAAAGCAGATCAATGCTGGCCTGGCTAAGCCAAGCTCACAGGAACAAGCATGAGAAACACAACTGCCAGGATGTTATACAACAACTTACAAGCTCCTTCATTAAATGCCACTTAATGTTTTGGAACTTGGATAACTGATATGGAGAACGTAGCTCTTAATTTGTGACAAACCCATTAAAACATTATTTTAAGTAATTTAAGTGAGGGAGATAGTTGCCCAACTTGTTCCTATATTGCCACTTTTCAAACAACAGGGGAGGGTTAGGTTAACACTGAAAAAGTTGTAATTGTTTCTGCTATTATTGCAACTATAAGCATGTAGAGGACTACAGATCAGGAGTCCATGATGCGAGCTGGTGCTCAAACACACAAAACATCCTCCACTCTGCAGCTTCTAGTCTAATCGCTGACAGTAGACTCCTAATTTGGAAACGGAAGACAGTGAGGGAGGAATGAGGATTTGATGGCAGGAGTTGAGCCTGGACCAAACACGAGGCCCTTACTTCTCAAGTTTGGACTTCTTAGATATTATCTTCTAGTCCACAGCAAGCAACAGCGTGCACTGCAGCGATCTCTCGGCTAGTGAAGGCTGTAGTGTCTCCAGCAGAAGATGTGGAGGTCCTTCACACAGGCCTGTGCAAGGCAGGGAACAGGGATGGACAACCAGGGCAGAACTGTCCCTCAGACTATGCTAAGCATGAAACTGCAGTCTGAGCTTGCTACCCAGTGGAGAAGCCATTAATCAAGGTAACGTGAAGACAGCGTTTTGGGGACTTAACCTAGGAGCAGTGTGGGGCACTGGCTCATGCCACACTGACAGCCTGGCCCAGGGACCAGTGGATTATCCCCTCACTGACCCACAGAGCTCACTCCTAGCTCTGCAGCACAGGGAAGTCATTTCACATGGGAGAGATGGGGAAGAGGAAGGCCCCTCGTAGCAAAATGACATTCCTGACCTCTTTCTGGGTTGTGCTCCAGGACACCAGGGAAGCCTGCACCTGCATCACCCTGCCCAAAGCGAGCACGATTACCCTCCTTATGAGGCAAGCATGACAGGCTGACAAGGCTGGTACTTTAAAACCCTGCTAAAACTATTTATTTGCTAATAATAAACAAACAAAAATCAAAGAATTACTTCAGGAAACAAACCACACACTGTTTTAATGGCAGTCACCTCTCAAACGATGTCTTGGTCTGTGAGCAAGAAGCTGTTGGGAATTGACTTTTATAACTAATGGCTCTAGAACAAATTAATTTAATATGGACCGAACGCGTTCTGTAACTCTGCAAGTCAAGGTAGCACTCAAGGATTCTGAAGCAATGTCAAAGACATCAAGGTGCAATTAGTACATGCAAGTCACTAATTTGTGCCCCCACTTTAAAAAACAAACAAAAGTAAAATCCCGACAAAACCAAAACAAAACCAAAAAACCAACAAGACTCCACAAGATAGAAGGGGGCCTTGCCCTAGGCTGTTGGAGCAGGGTGAGCCACCTCTTTAGCTAGCAGCTCCTGTGAAACCTTCAGTAGCCTCTCCAGCAATAAGTAACGGGAAAGTTCACATGGGTGTATGGGAGAAGAGATTAACGGTGCTTTTGAAAAGAAACAAAGGGTTGTTACTTTACTGTTCAGTTTCCTCAAAAGGTATTAGAAAAATACTTGATCCAATCTTCCACCTGAAAAGGCCACTTGTAAAGACAGCTACAGAGATGGCCTGAGATATCATACACATACTGTAAAAACAGGTGAAAAGCAAGGAAGGAAAAAAAAAAAAGAAACAAGCCAAACTCAGGCATTTAGGAAGACACTAGTAAGCAGCTCACTATCACAACATCCCCGTTGCCTGAAGTTTGAATACCTAATATTTGGCTAGAAGCTTGTGTGCTTCCTAGCTAGAGTTAAGATACCACGAAAAGAAGCCAAAGCCAGTGGGAAAGGTCATAGGATAAAAATAAATGCAGTTTAAAAGCACTGCAACACCGCAATTACATCAAAATTGGGTAGTAGTGAAAGTATTACATTGGAGTCCAGCAACTAGTGTGACTTGAAGTATACTCCTGACCTAAAGAGTGACCAAACAAATGGCTTTTTAAAATTTTATCTTTCAGATCTCCACAGGGTAAACATCCAGAAGTACATCTGCGGTTTCAGCTTACTACATGCTCTTGCAACCACCGCAAAAATAGTGCAAGACAAACGTGCTGGACTCCTCCTTGCTCAGCATCAGAAAAACAGCTAAGATCCAGTAACATGTTCAACCTGCTGCATCTGTACTTTAAGACACCAGAGATCTCAAGTTTTCTTCACTTTTATAGTGTATTTATGACCACATCAAACCCAGAATTAGATACTTCAGCCCAAGATTCAGACCATATAAGCTTCCATTTAGTTGCCATCCAAAGTCTGTAGGCACTTACATTTACAATGTCAACTACCCAAACACCACCTAGTGCATTTTGGGTGGTGTAACTGAGCTGAAACAGGGTCAGGAAGCTCACACCTCACCTCTCTACCACAACAGAACTGACAAAAACGGTTTTTAACCCAAGGTAACTGTATTTGCAAAGGAGTTTAATTCACAGATACTTTCAGGGCAGAACCATTCAATCAGACTCCCCCACAAAACACAGTGGTGAAGAACAGGTGAGTGGGACTGCTTTGTACCACTAGCTCCATAGCCCCCTTTTCATATAATTGATCCTGTAAACACTCATTAGGACAGCAATCAGCCCCTCCCTGGTAAGTACACTGATGTCAGGTCACCCCATAGCAGCCTACACCCTGGTAGTGAAGGTACTTCCTCCCCATGAGAGAAACAGGAGTTTAAGCCCGCTTCACACAGGAACGGAGACAAAACTAGCTTTCCACATTTGCCTGCTGGCATCATGTGAGGAAGCTGCACAGCCCAACACCATAGATGTGACAGCAGCTAATTTGGGGCTAGGCTTATTTCTGTTCAGTAGCAGAACAGGTACTCTTACCTTGGATACTCAACCAAATAACCACTGCATTTAGCCATCACAGAAATGGTTTTGACAGACTGTTGCTGAAAGCTACTGAACTGTTTTTAAACTTTCAGGCAAGGAAGCCTTACGCAGAAGAAAAAAACACATTAAAATAACAATTATTCTGAATTCAAATAAAGAAATACACAATGCAAGTATTCGCAAGATTCCTACTCACCTCTCCAAAGTCTGAAGTGCCTTCTTGTTTAATTCATCCTGAGTGGCCTTCAGAGTAGCTGTAGGACAAGATACAATACCATTTAAGAGTTGAGTTCAATGTTTCAAATTCAATAAATAAATAGTTACACATGCACACAGTATTTCAAACCGGTAGCATAAAAACTGCGGAAATCTGGTGGTGTGTGTGCGCTCACGGCTGGAAAACATGCTGTTTTGTTTTTAAAGAACAGTACAAAACCAGTATTTTAACCTGAATTCTCATTTCATTTTTATTAAAGACTCTTCCAATTCCCTCGTCTGAAATGCCAAAGCATTTTTTATTTACGTATGCCACTGAAGGGGTCTGGGAGGAGAAGGGGCCATATGCTAACTAGATACTAAGAGCATAACAGGCCCTCTGCCAGGTTGATGTATATGCTAAAAGCAGTAACCAGCAACATATTCTGACTCAGATACAGATTGTCTCCACCACCATCTTCATGTAGGAGGGTGTTGCAGGTTGAACAGGGAACACCAGGAGCCAAACTTACAGTTCTATGACAAAAGTCTTGCCAACACATCACCTCCTTTGAGACCACAATAGACTTTTAGCTTACTTCAGGTGTGGCATTAGCCACTAACGTCCTCCTTGGTGCCTCAAATTGCTTGGCTAAAGAATCCTGCCCACTATGCTCACTTCTCAATGTGTGAATTAATTCCTAGCCAAAACCATAAAAGGAGGGGAAAAAACACATTCTTGTTATGCCAGGGTATCGTAAAATATCATCGTCATCAAGAGCAAGGGGAAGAGAAGAGAAGCTTAGAGAAACATGGCTTTCTCAGAACCAAATATCTGGGAAGCTAGCAATAGTTTTCAGAATTACATTGGCTGTCTTGTTCTGGTTCTTGGTTTTCACATTTTGCATAGCAGTTGTTCCTTGTTCTGCCTGTCTTGAATTTGAGAGCTACTGATCAACAGTACAAAGAAGCAATGAGTAGTTAATCCATCTGCAAACATACACTTATGAATACATTTGACTTCATACATCAAGCCAGTGTAAGCTCCAGAATAGAAAGTTATTAAGTAATATATACTTAAGCAACAAAACCAGACAAAATCCAAATATTCTTAAAAGTTATTAAGAGGAAAGAGTTGCGTTCTTCTACAAAATGTACTAAGGTAATCAGTTTCTTTGGATTCTGCAAAATGCTAGTGAATGAAACTTTGAAAGTAATTTATTTTGCTGAAGTAGTTACACTGATCAGATCTCTTTTATTCCTGCATCTTCCAACAGTTCTTCAAAACACCAGGTTCTTTCAGGAGGAACAGCAACCTTCAGGATTTCCCAAGTCATAAAGATCAAAAATTGCTTATGCCACAAAAATCTACTCTAGGTAGTAAAAACTGAACAAAAAATTTGCAGTTTAAAGAATAAATTTGAAGACATGGATTTTCATGCAAAATGCAGCATTTCTTAGAACTAGCTGGAAATATTTCACTCTCAATAGCCCTAAATTGAGTATTCAGGTCCACTGGAAAAAGGTAACAGAGGATGAAAATTTAGAAAAAAAGATTAAAATAATCAAGATTGATGTAAACATAAAAATGCTTCAGGACACACTGGAGAAGATTTGATCATAGCTATAAACATTCATCCAGAAAAATGTCAGATTCTGTTTCTCATGGAAACCACAAGATCCCTTATGTAAGATACAGAGCAGTTCTGCAGATGCCACACAATGAGGAAGACTTAAAGAAATTTTACTATTTACCCCCCAAAATACACATCAAATGGAAAAGCTAGAAGAACTTCTATGTTCCACGTGGCAAGACATTTGACTGATGGTTAGCTTGTAGTCAGAAAGAACACAAAATATGTTATGGAAATGAAATGATTACAACTAGTCAGCTTTGCCTCTGCACTACTGGGTAACAGCATGTGAGTCCCACCTCCCACAATATGAACCGCATCTTCAGCTACAATTAAGTTGGAAATCTGGTTGTCTGTCTCTAGATTTGTGTCTGACTTGGATAAACACGTTGAAATTTGTGTTTGACGATACTGAGGGCTGATGCTGCAAGTTGACTATGCCATTTACAGGGCCTTTACAGCTAAAGGAGATAATTAGGAAAAAAAAAAACAAAACCATGAAAAGTGATTTTGAGAGGGATGCATAAAAAAAAGCTTGGCCACCAAGCCAATGGAGGTGATTCTCACCCTGTACTCTGCCCTGGTAAGACCCCCCTTGCAGTACTGCCTTCAGCTCTGGGGGCCCCAACACAAGAAGAACACGGACCTGTTGGAGCGAGTCCAGGGGAGGCCACAAAGATGATCCAAGGGCTAGAGCCCCTTTCCTATGAGGACAGGCTGAGAGAGTTGGGGTTGCTCAGCCTGGAGAAGAGAAGGCTCTGGGGAGACCTCATAGGAGCCTTCCAGTACCTAAAGGGGCCTACAAGAAAGATGGAGAGAGGTTTTTTTACCAGGGCCTGTAGCGATAGGACAATGGGTAATGGATTTAAACTAAAAGAGGGATGCCCTACCCCTGGAATTGTTCAAGGAAGTTGTCATCACTGCAACCCACTTGTATCACTGAAAACTCTCACTTCAGACAAAGAAAAGCTTGCAGCATAGAGACAGAATTAGGTGGGTCTGACTAAACTTCTGAAAGTTGTGCTCCATTCTCTGATGCTGACAGCACTAATGAATTCTTCAGCCTCTACCCAACTTCAACCACTGCAGGCAGGGCTGCTGCAGTTCTACCAACTAAAACGCAGTATGACTTAGATTAAAATAACCTGCAAAGCAGTCTGACCACAGTGAGTCAGAGAGCACAGGGGAGTTTAAGTTTCTGAAACTTCAGCAGTTATTCCCATAAGACACAGTACTCTTGCAAATGCCACCTTAGGAGCCCAAGATTTATTTCTAAAGCACTCTGGGTTTTTGAAGGAGCTTAAGCCTTACCAAAAAGTCAATGGGATCTTCAACAACATTTTGGTACCTAAATATGAAGCTCTAAAGTCACATTTGGCAACAGAGGAGGGCAGGTTCTGTGTTAGTAAGCAGGTGCAGCACAGTAGGTGTGAATGCATGGAGTGAAACACTTAATGCTGAGGATCAGCATCAACATTACAAACATGAGGCCAGAGGTTTAGTTCAAGTCTTGTCCACAGACTGAGCACCCATTAGCAGCTGCAGCATAATCAGGTCTATTTATGTAGCACATTAGTTTTATGGGAAAGAACTCAGTTTGTGCTGTGCAAAACTGTTCCATTATGTGAATCACAACGTAAGAAGTGGGGATGACTGAGAGATGGACTTCAGAAATACATTTCTGATCCAAACTAAAACACCAATGTGCATACACCCTTTTGCACATATCGATGGGTTTCAAAAAATGTTCCTTTTTGTTAAGACAAATACAGCAAGTTGTACAGTTTTAGCACCCAGAATTATAACTGAAGATTGCATGTGTTGACTGTTACCTCCAGAAGCAAAAATCATGGGTTCGTTCACTAATAATCAATGTCTAAATTTTTTTTTTTTTTAAAAAAACATTATCTGGTGCTGTCAGTATACTGATTATTTATAAAATCCACAAGGACTGATAGAAAAAGTTTCCAATTCAGTCCCTGATCTGTGGCCTTATACCAAAATTATAAATGAAAACAGAGATAGAGCACACACTTTCATCTCTGAAAGAGTGAGGGTCTGTCAAATCTACAAAGATTTCACAAGATGTGAGGTGGTGGTTAGATAAGAAGAGCACTTGTATTTCACAATGCATTCTCAATCTGGTCTTTCCTCCTTAGCCTTTGTTAAACTCATCTCACCTTCCCCTGTCTTCAGCGGATTCTTCACCAGACCTAAGAGAGGCAAAGTTGACAATACAGCTTGTGTCAAAACTGGAACTATGAGAGGAAGAGAAAGGTTTGCTGTTGACACTGACCCATTGGGAACAGATCTGCAGAAAATTTAGCATAGCAACAGAGGGACATTCTGTATGAACAAAAAATCTGTGCTTCTAAGAGTGAGGCAAAAGTGGCAACGACTTCCTCTGAGGACACATCTTTCAGCTACTTCAATGAGACTTATTTCAAGAAAGAGATAACTAGACATTAAGAACAAGGAAGCTACACGTATTGCTACCCAGCATAAGTTTCAGGAAGTCTTATTTCATCCAGGAGTAAATCTAATAGTTGTAAAGTGACCTTATATCAAATGCTTCCACAAGTTCTTTGAATTGGCATTCAATAGGATTCTCTCTTCTGATTCTGCTTTTCAGCAAGTGCTTTTTGCAGGTCACAAAAAAAAGGTTTTAATACAATTCCTCAGTGCCTTCGTCACACAGGAGGAGAAATACTTACTTACTAAAAGGATATATTAAATAAAAAAGCATAACCTTGGATGGAAGGCATCATGTTATAATACTGTAACCTTTGTAAGGCAATTGGTCAAATCTCTCTGAAACAGTTACCATCGAAAATGCTGACTCACTGAAAGTCAGCTCAAGTGGAAAGTTATGGAAATCATATATATCCACAGATGTTTGACTGTGTGTCTGCGTATGTCACTATGAGCTGGTATAAACACAATGATAAACAACATTGACAGTGTGATGCAGGATTACACAGGGGAGTTGCTATCTTCCTTTCAGTATGCTCTACTTTTGCTTTCTCACTGTGATAAGCTATTTTTTAATGATGCTAATGAAAAATGTCTCATTAGTGCAAATTTGACATTTTCTAGTAAAACACTGCTCCATATTCATGATCATCATAAGTATACTTTTGAAGGACTTAATCCATTTTATTAAAATATAACCTGAAAGATGGAAATATACTCTTCAGATTTCCCTCAAATAACTGAATGACTGTCCCTATTGACTTAAAGGCTAGAGACAGGAGGAGAAGGCAGATATTCCACTGTTTCACAACATAAATCAGATGCTAATCTGGAAAAGAAAAATTCAAGGCGGTTGTTATGAAGACTGTTTCTTTTACATTAAAAAAGATGCTTATTACAAGAGTTGAACTAATTTCTTGAAAACTCAGAGAAGACTTCTCTTCCAGAAGAAAAGTTTCCAATTTGCATTTTGCTCTACCACAGTATTTTTATAGCCAGAATACAGCACATGCCTCTACAACTCCATTCTTTAGAAACCACCTTCTTTCCATGCTGAGGATAACAAATAGATTGTAATGGGCTAACATAGAAAACCTACTATCTCCAAAAATATTCTCTGGGATCTTTCATAGCTTTAGGGACAGTTTAAACAAAATCTAGGCAAAATGCCCTAAAAAGCTAGGCTGTTATGCAGAACTCAATGTTTAATGAATTTTAAAAAAAACCTATGAGAAAGTTCAGGCTAGGAAGGACATATGTTTCTTGACATGAACTTTCTAGGGGGGACTAATTCTGAGGCAGAGAAATGGAGAACTGAAGAGTGCTACAGTGTCTGATAGCCTCCATGTTAGAAAGTAGTTCTCGGAACAGATGATCAGATAAGGCTGGCTGAAAAAATACACTCCCTTGCACTACTGAAGAGTACAAGCCACTTCCTCATGTGCATGCCTTGCAGAATTCTCATGTAACTTGGAAGGCCAGCGTATTTCCATGACACTATACAGTCATTTTAGCTTTGTTTCAGGCTCATGTGCCGGAAGAAGTTGTTTCACTTCTATGGGACCCATCTGACAAAAAAGTCATTGCTTGCATGTGGGCAGGACTGCCAAATGGATTAGGAAACACACTAGCTCAGTCGTTATTCAAAGAAACTATGTTAGAAGGCCTTCTGCCTATGGTAGAAGTCATAGAAGAAATACTCTTCCCACCTGTGAGCTTGATGAAGGTCAGAGCTAGAACTGTCCCAAACACTGGGACTTCAAGCCCTTCTGGCTACCAAGCACCAGATGTGCAGAAGCCTATTGTCCAGTCATTCAAAATCCAAGCAAGCAGCATTAAAATAAAATACTTTTATATTCAGTGGTTTGTATCTAGTCAACACCAGTGAGGTAGGTATTTTTATCTTGTTTACTTCCAAGCAGAGAAAGAAACGACATCAGAGAGGCTGAATCTCTGTGGGGAATCAGTACATGCCAGGAACTGAAGTCAGGCATTTCTGACTCCAGTTCTTGGATTGTATTTCTTTATGTGATTTATGAGTAGGTGACAAAAATATGAAAATAGATGGAAAGTTTTACTTTCTGTTGTGCAAATAAGTGAAAGAAATATATTACAAATATTCAAGTAAAGGACATCAAGCATTGTCAGCTATGGTCAGGCTACCACCTCCTAAGTAATGATTTGCATTTCTTTCTTTACCTAAAAACTTCACTTTTATTATCGCAGAAGACAGTTCTCTCAGCAACTGAACAGTCCCCATTTGTCTTGCAATCTGATTGTTTTTCATGTCCAGTCAGCACTAAAAGCAGAGTTTCTAATAAATTTCCATTGCTTGCACTGAAGACTTTGAACAGATGCTCTCCATACAACATACTTGACAAAAAGTGTAACTCACCATCAGTAGCTTGAAGACTGTATGTCAGGCCCAGTGCCAGGTAACCCTTTGCTAGGGACTCTCCAGCATCCTCACCCAGGTCTACCACCATTTTAGCAAAGTATTCTCCTTCTTCCAGCTGCAAAAGAGTTACGTTGAGACTTACAGGCATTTCCTCTATACTTGCTGCAATACCCATTAAACTTACCTGCAAGTGATCTGACAGCCATTCATACAAGGGCTTTCAGTGATCACAGTAAACACTTACAGAAAGGAGGATGTAGAAGGTCACATTAGCAGACCTTGGTGTACATGCACAGTTTTGAGAAAAGTTTTGTTTTAAGCATCTACCCCAAACTATTTCCAGATGTTTAAGGTTAATGAAGGACACTATTTCTATATTTCCCTTCAGGCACGCTTCAATCATGCAACCTTAAATACAAACATTGGACAAAGTGACTACTTATATACTACCCTAGCAGTACACTGAAAGGTTTAACAAGTTTCTTCCTTCAAAGGAAGAGACCATCTAATTTTGCTGTATGATGTTTTTAAACCTTAGCAAATTTTACTTCCTTTTAAAGCATTACTCGAGTAAAACAAGAGAGCACTTGACTGCAAGCTGCGTTCAGCTGCTGCTCGCAGTTCTGCTGCCACAAGAAGGAGACAGCAAATTCAGGACACAAATTTTGATCTGAAACACCACACTATCTTAGCTGTTCGTACTGCACTAGCCACATTTTGCATCTTTTGCAAAGACACAAATTCCTTGAAAATACATTTTATATTACTGATTGTAATGGGAAGAGAAAGCAGTCACGACCTCTCAGAATCAGCCTCCAAAACAGGGAAATAGGTAAGTTCGTCTCTTCTACTACAGTACAGACTGCTCTCCCCAACCCTCCTTTCCAGCTGGCCACACAGATCTACGTCTAATGAAAATATAAAGCTTTAGTATCTTTAAAATCTGAGTTAATGATAATTTTATACAAAATATGATTTGAATATTTTATTATAGAGTGTTTTTCATTTCTAACCTTAAACTCTCATTAACATCACTCACCCATTAGAAATAGAAAAGACTAAGACCTGCAGACTGTGCATATATGGAAAGGTATAGGTTGGAGAGGTACAGGGAAAAGCTGCATGTAATGCTTAAAAGACAGAGCCTACAGGAAGACCTCATTTCTGTACAAGATAGTCAACCATAATCAGAGTCATACCTCATCAAGAACCAGACATCATTACACTACCTGAAAAATCCTCCTTTTAGAAACCTCTATTACATGACAACTGATTTTTTGGAATGGGGTTGTTCAATTTTGAGAAAATACATTTTTGTTGGAAATCCAACTGTTTTAGATGCAAGTACTGCAGACATAACTGAAATGCACTCTCTTAATACATACCTTTATCAGACTTCAGCACCTCATAGTTCCTTAACATGTAAAAGGAGTCACTCATAATGAACTGGAATCAAAACGCACCAGCGCACCAGAAACTTCCCTTCTGCAGTGATCTGTTAATATGCTACCTATGAACATAATCTACTTGACTTGATATACTATCCTGTCAATAGGCCTCCTAGTTACATCACTTGAAGACATTCAGGTGACATTAACTAACAGCTTCCTAAACAAATAAGCCGGTATTTATTAGATGATATCAAACATAGGAAAAAAGTTACTGTTACTGTAAGCACAAAGAAAGGCTGAAAAATGCAAGCGAAGATGCAGTCTCCACTGCTTGAGTCTTTTCCTCACTTGTACAGCTTCCTGAGACCATACTATTCAAACTAGATATAGACCTATAGTTCCCAAATTTCTGAAACCTCAGATCAGTCAGCCCAATGACCAATGTATATTTTATCATCAAACTCTTCCCTGAAAGCACTATGAAAGCATCAGTCTTGCTGATTGCCTAGTCACCGATGAATCTGGAAATTACTAACTGAAATGGGAATACCCCCTTGGGGCATATTTGGGGCTATCAACTAAATTGCAAGGACTGCCTTTAACAGCATAACTGAAAGTCTACTGAAAACACTGGAAATAGTCCTACTGACTTCAGTGATGCTCAGATGAGCCCCTTTAAACTCTGATCACATCAGGAAGACTGAGATTTGTTCCAGGAGATTTCTTAATCCTGTCAGTAGCCCTACTGACTTCCTTGTCACATACTGAAGCGTGTTCTGGACCAGAGCCTAGGACAATGGAAGAAGCAAATGTCCCATGACTTGCCACACAGAGAGAGATAAAAAAACAAACAAACAAACAAACAACCCAAAACACCACAACAAAAACCCCTTCCCATGAAACAATAACTGAATTCTTTCAGGAACTTTTATGTAAGACATGAAATCTCTGCAGCCAGAAAATTAATTATGCACCTCTTTTGCCACCATAAACAGCTATATTCCCACTCTCTTTCTTCATTGTTTCTCCTCTTCTCCCTACACACACACTTGCATCCAAGAAGCCTCCATTAGATGAAGAAAAGAGCTATACAAGGAATTCTAATGACTAGCAAACAAGGGTAGGGGTGGGTAGAGTGTACCAAAAAAAACAGATTAAATGAAAGGCTTGGAGTTGAAATGGAGAAGTTTAAAATTGGAGAGATTTTGCTCCATTGTTTCTCTGAATGGTCAGCTGATGGCGTTTCCAGTCTCTGACTGATGGCCTACACCACATAAATCAGCAGCACACCATTTAGCTTTCTTGCCTGCCAGTTATCCAGGGCCACCTGTGAGTGTCAAATTAGTCTATTGTATGAATAATTAAAACCACAACTTTTCAGAATGGCTAAAAGAGCACTTCAAGCACAAACATTCTTGTAAACATTTATTCATACTAAACACTAATAGCACTTCGACCAGCCACAAAGATTCTCATGAATACAAACTTGGGTCAGCTGAAAGCTGCTTTGAAAATAAGTGGTCTTGCAAACTCCATCACAGCTGGTTCTGTTTGAGAGCATTTACTTTTCCTTCTTACAGCACTCAGCCACCTCCCCTGCCAGCCCTGTTGTGGCTGCCATCTGCCCCCTCTTCTCCCATTCTCCTACTCTTCAATCATTCTAGGCAAGTGTGAAAACCTTTCACTCACATCACCCACTGTGAGGTTTCAACTCCCCAGTGCATCAGTCTTGCTGATTGCCTCCGTCAGCTACGAATTTGGAAACCACTACCTGAAACAGGAATACCTCCCTCAGGGCATACTTGGGGCTACCAACTAAATTGCAAGGACTACTGGATTTCAGTCTGTATGAAAACTCCCTCTCCATACACCTGAGTGAAGGAGTAGTAGCAAGCCTCAGCTCTGATCTGTCAGTAAAGCTGTGTTCATGAGGGTCCTTAAGCATATGAGATGTCTCCACTCTGTGCTGTAGCAATGGGAAAGGGAGGGGGAAAGGCCTCCAAACGAGGCATCGACCCCTCTGGAGTCCCATCAGATACAATCATTCCCAGCTGCAGCTCCTGCCTGCTGCCACATTACCTGAAGCAGCAGGAGCTGCTCCCCCTTTCTCCTCTCCCCATGTGGTACCGGGTAGGTGAAGCCTCACCCTGTGGGACTCCCAGAAGTTGACGTGAGCTCAGTGGCAGAAAGCTTATCAGCAGAATCAAGATGTCCATCCCTACTCCTATTGGACTGTCAGCACCCAGCCTCAATATGAAGGGAACTTAAATGGTTCATTCACTTTAGAGAGCTCCAATCTTAAGGTGACACAACACTGCATTGGAAGAGCAAGAAACATGGGTCAGAACTTCTTGTTGCAGCTTACAGGCCCTTGCTAGTAAGCTCGAAGCCACAGGATGCCACACGTCCTCCCTGACAGCAGACATGGCACAGCATCATTTTGTGATTAGGAAAAGTACTGTTAACTGGTGTTACCTGGTCGCTAGCAGTGCCCACGGCAGCTCCCAACACCATGGAAAGATACTTCTTTGGGCATCAAGAGCGCCGCTAACAGCTTGAAGTCAGTTTCGTTAGAATCACTACTTGTTACTCTCTCAGAAGCAAGCAAAACCCAAAGTCTGAAAACCACAAAGATACACTTTCGATTTGGTCCTTACTGTTCTTACATTCTTCTGCATGCTTTGCACTGAATAGCCAGTGGAGAGAAGGGCAGCGCCACAGGTAGCCAGGAGAGGTTCCCTGCCTCTGAGACCTGCATGGAAGAAATCTCAGAAAGCAGGTGTGGGAGAAAAACAAACTAAAAAGAACTTTCTGTATTTTGAACTCAAGCTGTATAAACTGTCAGGAGACACCTGGAAGCCCTAGCTAAGCAACCTCTCCACCACACCAGAAACAAGCACACACCTGGCACCTGGAGAGAGACAAGCTGCCAAACTGTGAGCTGACACCAATAAGAGTGTAATACTGTGGGGTTGTTTGGTTTTGTTTTTTTTTTTTCCCCCCTTCCACTCTCTCCATCATCTTTGATGGAAAAGGAACAGTTGTTAGCTGTGTAACCCTGAGGGATGTTTTCCCTGCAACAGAAAGTGGCTGTTCCAGCCACCCCTGTTATTTGACCGTAGGTTTTGGTGTGTGCTCGAGCCAAGCCTGGGGGCATACTGACAAGGGAGTGGGGAACAGCAGGTGCTGTCCCCTGGCCTGTGGCCACCCAGCTGGTTTCCAACTGCCACCCAGCTTGTTTTTAGAAAAGCTGAAGCCCTACCCCACTGAATCAACACCCTCCAGGACTAAGCAGGAGCTGCAGTTCTCACCAGCATGGATTTAGAACAATTGAGGACAAGCAAATAGATGATGTACTGCAGCGTGGAAACGGCACCTTACTGCGCCAAAAAAGAGGCGTACACAAGGGAGGAGGCAGGAAACACATCAAGTGACACTGGGCCTAGGACAGCAGATAGCATTAGTGAAGCAGGGGAGTTTGGAAAAGAGTGAGACTGAGGGATACCCAAGCACGTAAGAGACCCAAATTCTACGGAAAGGGAATCTACACAAAATTACAAATGATGTTAACTAGTTGGATTAAGCTCTTCTTATCATTTTCACTATACTGGGTTGTAGGTATAGAGACTGCTTCAAAGAGGAGAAAAAAATTAACTATTGGTAAAAAAGAATGAGAAGAGGAAAAATGCATAGGAAGAAATTGTCCAATAAGGCATAGAATAAG